CCTCAGGCATAGCCGATTTTTGCCGTATATGTCATGTATGCCAGTTAGCTGGTAAGCCCAATCAAGTATTTTCACCTGCACCTTTAAAACCTATACCTGTTGTTGATGAGCCATTTGCAAAAGTAAACATTGATTGTGTGGACCCTCTTCCTAAACATGAGTGTGATAATGAATATTTGTTACCGGTGATGTGTGCTTCCACTATATATCCGGAAGTTATACCTGTGCGAGAACTTGGTTTATATTATTTTATATGTTGGTTTATATTACATCTATTTTAAGGAGGGGGTGTTATGCATGGCGTAATGTACATTGGTGCGTTGCGCTGTGCATAGTGAAATATTTTTATAGGCATGTTACCCCCAAGTTTTGTAAATATAATTTTGTATAATGATGTGTGAGCAGGGCTGGTATTTGATATATAAAATATTATTCTGTATGTATGAAGGTATTTTTGGAGCTTAATCTGGGAGTTCATTAATATTAGTTTTAGGTTGGTAGTTCCGTGGAGTATGGAGCTATATCGGTCACTGTTTGCCTTTGGGAGTAGGAGGACGGCTCAGTTTGTCAGTGGTGGATAGAACATTAGAAAATAAGGAGTCTGCAATAGGCCGGTTGGCCTGTGCGTGGCAACTCCTGCCGAGAGTTACTACCACTCTCTATCATCCATGAATCTATCCAGCCTCCTTTTGAAACTTTCCAGCATTCCAGCACTTACTACAAAGTTGCTAAGCTTGTTCCACTCGTCCACCACCGGATTTGTAAAACAGTTCCTTCCTATCTCCCTCCTAAACCTAAACTTATCCAACTTAAATCCGTTGTTCCGAGTCCTATCCTGCTCGGATATTATAAGAACTTTATCCATATCACCTTTATTAATTCCTTTCACCCACTTGGATACGAGCTCCGACTAGCGTAAGATATAGTTGCAATAAGACCTCTGCACTCTTGTTACTTACACTTCTAGATATAAAACCCAATACTCTGTTTGCCTTATTTCGAACATTAACGCACTGTTTTTTAGGCAGTAGGTCCGGGCTTACAAGTACCCCTAGGTCTCTTTCACAAGTCGACTTCTCTAGGTTGATGTTGTTAAGGCTGTATACATTATCAGTATTTGTTCTTCCAATATTAAGTGCGCTGCACTTGCTGGTGTTGAATTTCATTTGAGATTTTTCAGACCACCCCTGCAGTTTATTTAGATCCTCCTGTAATGTATTTTCATCCTGCCCTGAATTAATCTGCCGCCCTATTTTGGTGTCATCGGCAAACTTGCTTATGTCACTGCTCATCCCAGTATCTAGATCGTTTATGTAGATTATGAACAAGAGTCGGCCTAGTACCGACCCCTGGGGAACACCACTGGTTACACGACCCCACTCAGATTTAACACCATCTACGCTGACCCTCTGCGTTCTATCGGTGAGCCATGATTTTATCCAATTTAAAACTTTCCCCTCAATACCATGAGCTAGTAACACTCTTTTGAAGTTTAAGCTTATCTATTATTTTCCTCATCTGTTATATTATGCAGATAACATTCATACTGTTCATGTTAAACTTTGGCCATAGTGAATGCATTTCTTATTAGACGTATAAACATTCACAACTCTTTACATTTATATATTTTGACGCACCCTTGTAAACGCACGAGTGCAGGGGACTGTACCTGTACCTGAGTGTTTTTTCAATTGATAGGCTAAGATAAAATGAAATGTTATCGAGAAAACAAGTGAAGAAGCCATTTTAAGACGAGGATGGTAAGTTAAATAGGCATAATAAGTCTTACCATACTGATGTTGGGAGGATCAAGTTCAGTTGTTGACTGGATGAAGAGGCATGTAGGTGAGGGCATTTATACCTCCCTCAGGTGATGGCTGACTGCATGACTATCACCTTGGTCAGCCAGTTAAGCCGCAGTTATTACTCTAAGAATCACAACCTGCTTCAGTGAAAAGGTAAACAAAACAAACTGTTAATCGTAACATCCAGCAGATGGCGTCTATCGGAGTGAAGATAAGTATATCCTAGGAAATGGCTGAGAACCTGTAGAAATTAGAACTTCATGACACTTGATCTGTATCGGTTTTATGAGACTTAACTTTGGATAATTTCATCTGAATTCTTGAACAACTAATTATATGGGCCAAAATCTACCTCTATCGAAAGGAAATAATTTTCAACTTACTCACCTGACCTTTGTGGGTAGGAGAATGACAAGACTAATCCCGGGTCTTAGGAACCTTGAGTACAGAGACAGGTTAAAGCATCTTAATTTGCACTCTCTCGAGAGACGTAGAGCGAGGGGCGACATGATAGAGGTGTATAAATGGAAGTCAGGGCTAAACAAATGGGACATTACAAAGGTACTCAAACTATTCAACCAGGAGCGAACTCATAACAATGGTTTTAAATTAGACAAATTTAGATTTAGGTGTGAAATAGATAAACATTGGTGTGGAAATAGATTAGTGGATGAGTGGAACAAGATACCAAATATCATCATTAACTCGGATACGCTGGATAGCTTCAAACATAGGGTGGATGCATATATGAGCAATAGGGGTTGGGTGTAAATGGGACTGCCCAGTATGGGCCAATAGGCCCGCTGCAGTTTCCTCCATTCTTATGTTCTTATGTTCTTATGTTCATCAGCATAACAAGGTGAAACATGAACGAAATACCCAGAAAATGCATTCACCTAAATTCTTGACCGGCGAGGAGTTCTACATGTATAATCTAGTGGATAACAAGCACTAATATTATGGTACTAGACTCACCGTAGCTTGACTCTCCTTCAGTCAGTGGTTATGATGGTGTTTAATGGTGACTGAGGGGCATTGTATGTATGTCAGCTAAGTATTATATTTATATCAGCTTAGTTTCAAGTTTATATCTGCTAAGTATTACATTTATATCAGGACAGTTTCAAGTTTATGTCAACTAAGTATCAAGTTTATATCAGCTAAGTTTCAAGTTTATATCAGCTAAGTATCAAGTTGATGTAAGCTAAGTATTAAGTTTCTATCAGCTAATTTTAAGATTATGTCAGGAAAGTTTTAAATTTACATCAGCTAAGTATCAAGTTTATATCAGTTAAATATTAAGTTTAAAACAGCTAAGCATTAAGTATAAATCGAGTAATTATTCTACACAGTTTTGAATTTGTGGTGTATTTGCGTTACTAGTCATAAACTCAAGCGTCAGTAAAGTAACAATGTTAGCCTCGTATCTCTGTGTTCCTTAACCCTGAGTCTTCTTCCATGGCGAGTACTGGGTGAGTTAAATCTGAAAACAATTCTTAAGAAGTTGTATTTTGTTGCTGTTAATATTGAGAGTGTCTGTCTGTATTTAAGTGTTCTTATTGGAAGGTGATTTTAATGTACATATATTATGTAACCTATTGTATGAAAACTGTATCCGCTATATTTCATTCTTATAGTACCGGGTATATCATATATTTTACTTTATTATTTATTTACAATCTGCAATATTCATAAATGTAGAAAATAACATCCAAGTTCAAGGAAAAATAAAGTTAACATTTCTGTTTTCTGTTTATGTTATTTTCATTTATAACAAAATAAATATTATCTCGTATGGTAACAACCTAATATTATAGCAATATTTATTGATTTATTTATATTATATTCGCCATAAGTTTGTGATTGTTAATACATTTAGTTTTTATTTACATGATTCTTCCTTCCATACTATAATGTCCGGCTGTTGGATGATTCACAGTTACCTGAGATGTAATGTGAAGAATGTAAGTTAAAGAAGAGTTAGTGTAGTGAATCGGCAACACACCTAGAGCATCACTAGTCCACACGTTGTGACTCGCTGCGTGATAACCTGCCACTGCTGACATGGATCACTCCAGGTACACAGTAATTATTATCACTCCAGGCACATAGTAATTACTATCACTCCTGGTATATAGTAATTATTATCACTCCAGGTATATAGTAATTATTATCACTCCTGGTAAATAATAATTGTTATCACTCCAGGTACATAGTAATTATTATCACTCCAGGTACATAGTAATTATTATCACTACAGGTACAGAGTAATTATCATCACTCCAGGTATAATATATTATAAGAATCTGTGCCTCTAACACCCTAAGTGGCAATTCTATTACTTGTTAGAGTATAGACAATAAAAGATCATTTTTCAGGGTCATTATTTTCCCCTAATAATAAAGATTTTTAAGTGAAATTTTATCTTACGCCTCAATATATTCCAAAATGAACATTAAAATTTATTCCATAGAGTTAAATAAGTTTATTATGTCTTGTGGGGAGAATATTGATTTTTCCTTCCCAAGACATTAAAAAACATTTTTATAAGCCGATAAAAATACAGATACATCTAATCTCTTATCCTGGATAGAATTTGCGAAGTATTATCCCGCTACATTTACTGATACTATTTAAATATTCCACTGATATTCAGAAAACCCTGATCTCATAGTTAGTGGAAGTAATAACTGTACTGTATTAGCAAGTAAGTTATGGGCATTTCTACATCAAGTTTTACCATAAGAATAAGTAAGCGTCTTTTAATAATGTATCATTTTAACATTTATGTGAAAAGGGTAAATTTTAAACTGAGTAATTGAAAAAAAATCTTTGTCGGCATCTTTTTATTCATGTAGAGATAAAATGAAGATGTTTATAGTATATCATAAAATAACTTAAGTTGCACATCACAAAAAACAAACAACTACATTTCTTTTACACCTAACTGTAGAAATTGTTAATACAGTAGAGCTATGTGTTTATTATTATAATTCACATGTGTACATTACACTTTATTTACTCTTATACCACACTTGGTAAGTGATGTCAGGAGAGCGAAGTTGGGGTAAATCAAAGTTATTTTCACAGTCGTTTAAGTTTTATTATTACAACACAAGAATCACAAGACACAAACTGACGAAGAAGAGTTCAGGAAACTTAGTATTGGTGTATCTCATTTCTTTATGTTTACATTTATTTTCCATAACCTACACTCCCACCGTCATAGCCGCCGCCACTAGAACCGCCATAACCGCCACCGCTGGAGCCGCCATACCCACCACCACCACCGCTGGATCCGCCATACCCACCAACGCCGCCGCTGGAGCCGCAATACCTACCACCGCCGCCGCTGGAGCCGCCATACCCACCACCGCCGCCGCTGTAGCTGCCATACCCGCCACCGCCGCCGCTGGAGCCGTCATGTCTGCCTCCGCTACCACCTCCATGGCCACCACCACCGCCACCACCATACCCGCCGCCATCACCTTCGCCACCGCCGCCACCACCATGCCCTTCTGGCTTGGCAGGGCAGGTCACAGCCAGGAGCCCCACCACCATGGTCACAAACAACTGCGTCTGAAATTGTCAGAGATAAACTATTTGTATTAAGGTTATTATTATCAGTTAATATAATGGTACTATAAATAAGTTCTTTTACCACAGAGATGTTAGGTCAGTTACTTTCTGTAAATCAACGAGAAAAGGTTTGCTTCACTGAAACTTCACTAACAATGACAGAGAAGAGTATTATTTATTTGAGTGCAAAAAACACGATATGTGTAACATTTGTCTGATATAAAGTTTTCTTTTGCATAATTTACTACGGTGAAGCTGGAAACCATTAGTTCAAAATATAATTTTCAAATCTGTCTTGAACTTGTGCCTATACCTTCACCTATACCAGCAACTCCTTTACTCGTCTTGCTGATGAGCTGAACTGTTATTAATAAGATAAGTGAAGAATGCACTTATAGAAGACGATGATAAATTACTTAAGTCATAATAAGTCTTACCATACCGATGTTGGGAGGATCAAGTTCAGTTGTTGACTGTATGTAGAGAAGTCTAGGTGAGTGCTTTTATACCTCCCTCAGGTGATGGCTGACTGCATGACTGTTTCCTCATTAGTCAGTTAAGCTCCACTAACCAATTGAGTAACACAAACTTCATATTTGAAAAGATTAAATTTGTTAACTTCTGCTATATAACAGGCGGCACCTCATGGAGCTTTGTCACTTATGAAAATCTTTGAGTGTTGTGAAAAAGCTGCAGAAATTATCCCATTTGTGAGCCTTCATTGCCAGCCCCTTGGAGAACGACCTTCACGTTGCGTCTGGGGATCATAAGGGTAGAGCATTTGAAGGTATTATTTATAGTCCTTAAATCCATTTTTAGCTTTGAAAATTCCTTAGAAAAATAAAGGTTATCTTATTTGCCTTAAACACACAAACCCCACTGCTATTCTGTTCCCCTGACATTATTAACGGAGCGAATAACAGTAATCCTGTAAATCATAAATGATCATACAAGCATGAAATTTCATATAAACATTAAAAATGGGTTACTTATCAAATCTATCCGATTGAACATTAAAAATTCCAAGATGTAGCCATTTTCCAAGATGGCCGCCAAATTTGCCTAACTGAAAACAATTTGTACATATATTGACTTATTATTGGGCAATCTGTGCACATAAGGTGTCTTTTCTTATGTTTTAAAGCATGCTGGAACAGATTATGATTATTTTGGAACACTCAGATATGTCTTGTATGCATAAAGTAGCGGTTCAACACATATTTTTACCTCTTTTCATAAAATGTGTAAGCAATTCTCAGTTAAACAATGAGAAACATGTTTATCTTTTGCTCATATCCTTGTGAGATATTGCTATAAGAATTCTTTCATATTTACAGCTGCTGGTATGTGCATCCACACAGAGTTGTGCAAGTAAGACCAGAGCTGATATATTTACATCGCTATCCACAGTCTTTCTTGCAAGAACACTTGGTCAGTTCTTGACAACTCGCTGCCCCAGTTAGCAGGACTTGGAATGTCTGATTGTGCTGCAGTTACCTGACCTCCAAATCATTCCACCTTGATAGGCTGCACGCTTTACATGGTGGACTAGACCTGTCTTACATCACCACCACAAACCTTTCTAAGACACGGAGGTCTTCTTCACTAACTGATGTAAGACACTGACTGAGTTTGATGAAGGTACTGGAGAACTCGTTTAACACATTCCATGTTTACCATGCAGTCTTCTTACCTTTTTCAAGGAAGGCTGACACAACATCACAACCACCGAATGCATGGAAAAATGTGATTCTAGTGGCTTTTTCAGGCTCTATGTCTACAACTAACTCATGAACAGGAATCCATCTTGTATAAGTCCCTAAACCCCATGACCATAAGAAATCCACATTTCTTCAAGACCAATGATATCTGTGTCATTGGCTTTTATGAGAACTCTTTTACTGCCTTCCATTATAGCTTGTCTTGCCTGTACAAAGAGGCGGGTATCTGCCTCTTCATGGGAGCATGGAATCAACTCTTCTAGAGGCGTATTATGGTTGCTAATGACATAGCAACAACTGACTTGGATGCTCCATGCTGAATTTGTGATTTATTATCTGTGCCATGTTCACTCATAACTGATGAAGGAGCTGCATATTCGATACTTCTATCATCAAGTATGGTTAGGAATTTTGACATGTGTTTGAGCATATTTTGCCTTATTATTTTCTCAGCCTCGGCCAAATGAACAGCTTCACTGTATTTGCCAACCTCAACCAGGATGGAGCCTACATGCTCTTGGAATGCTAGCAAAACATCTCTTCCTTGACTGTGAGCTCCCAGTTGCGGAATATGTGAAACTAATTGGTTCTTAAGCCTAGTAGAATAAATTTCAGGCGATTCGACACCAAGTTGTTCGAGTCTTTGTTTGTACAGTAAGACTAAGTCTGCTAGTCTAAAAATTGTTCCATTAGAACCTTCACATGCAGTTTTTGTCTCATTGATGTATGTCACCACTTCAGAGAAAGTCAGTGAATATGTATCTTTTTGTCATGGTTCTTTTGTGTTTTTTTCGTATCCTTTGCACTAAGATAAGCTCTTTCTCTATTGTACAGTGCAGCTCAGCAAGCAGGGTAAAATTTCACCTCTTGTGCCACTACATCTCCTGCACTAAGTTAGCAAGGAATCTTTTGTCACTGAGTCTTTTTGCACATTCATTGAATCTGTCACTGAGTTTCATTGTCATTGTTTGACGGAGAGCACTCTCTGGTGCTGGTTTATCACACAAAAAGCATTCTGTTGTGGTTTTTGTGTCTCTTGGCTTTCATAGCACCTTACTTCGGCAACCTTCATCACTGTCAACTACAGAGGTGGTTGCTCTTTTTGGGGCTCTTTGCAACATTATGTTGCTCACCTAAATCTACAGCTCTCATGATATTTGGCAGTATTTTTCCTCATTGTCTCTGCAATACCATCTCCATCATCTAGTGTTTCCATATCAAGCCTTATTGGAAGGGCATTGATTGAGTTGAAAAGAGGAATATTCTTGGCTAATTTGCTGTAGCCATCTTTCTCTCTTCTAGTAGCGTTAGTCCTTGGAGATTTAAGTTCTTCCTTTTTATATCATTACACAGACAGCACTTGGCCCAGTCTGTTTTCCTTTCAGGATTACTTTTAGGACCAATATTCATCGCCATTGTGGTACTGAGTCGAATGTTTTTCCTTTTACCACTCTGTATCATGCGTACTTTCCTTCTATGAGATACAACTAGGTTTAATCAATTGATTGCCCTAACTTTAACCCCATTACCCTTGGCTCGGCTCTCCCACGCTGGTACATCCTTTCAATTCGGGTGCGGCTACCTAACCTTATTTGAGGCTAATTTAGTAACACACGCGCACACACACATATATATATATATATATATATATATATATATATATATATATATATATATATATATATATATATATATATATATATATATATATATATATATATATATAATCAACGACCTCAAAGTCCGCGTGTTATATGGACTAAAAATGAAGTATATATATGTACCTCGCGTTTCATACCAGCTGGATTCGGTAAAATGCTACTGACACCACATAAGAGGCACGGGCAGTTTCCCAATGAGGTTCACGGCGCCATCAGCTCGATGAACAGGCTATGTGTGAAATATAACAGAGTCTAGAACTGCTTTTAGTGTCCTTGTGGCCTAGCCGGTAAGCGTTCCCTAGTCACACCCAGTAGGTCGAGGGTTCGATTCCTTGCTGGTGAGTTTGTTGATTATATATATATATATATATATATATATATATATATATAAATTGATCTTTAATATAAGTTTCGTAATTAGTTGACACTGAACCCCATTTTGAGTTTCACAGCAGTGTTGTCACCAGTGTGCCCTGGTAGTACATTGCCATTTACTCTTTATAAGCATGTTTCCTTTGAATGCTCTCCATTTCAGAGTTTTCAACACAAAATTCAGGTTCTACGTACTCAAAAACACGGAAATCAACACTGAAATCACCTGAATTGATGAACACAATAAATATTAAGGCCAAAAGGAAAATCTGACATCCACTTTTGGTGGCCATCTTGGAATTTTTATTGTCGAATCAGGAAGATTTGATAATTAACCCATCTTGAATCCTCATGCCAATTTTCAACATTCCTTCAAAAATTGACACTTTGCCGCTCCTCTATCAGGTATCGTTGCCTCTGATGTTACTACTACTCGTATTACCTTTCACTCATTTATTATAATGAATTGTGAGTAACTAACAACTATTAAAAACATGAAAATTGCAAATAATTTTACTTTGATATCCGTAAATGTTGCCAACAAGGACTTTGGCAATTAATATTTGTAACTATCTCTTGTTTGGTCAAAGTTACTGTGCTTATCATATGCCAAGCAAAAGATGATAAAGTACAGAGAAAACTGATCACCTGAAGAATGTCGACCCCAGCTTATTTCACCTAAATATTACCCTAACCTAACCTTTTTCTAATTAACCACATCCCCTCAAAAGAGTTAGGGTGATTAAACCTTTAGGTGAAATTAACTTGGTTGAAGATTCTTCAGGTGATCCCCAAAATATTCAACTGTCTGTTGCCTATTTTAACAACTATTGAAGTGATCATCTAATCTATTTAATATTGCATTTTAACTTTTAATAATAAGTATTGATAATATAATAGCACTAATATTAATTTTTACAATAATATAACAGATATAACATTTAAAAATAATACAGGTAAATTAATAGCAAAGGAAATTATTGGTGAAGATCTTAGGCCTACGTTAAATATAATAGAATAAAACATCCAGTACCAGTACGAATGTTAATAAATATGGCGAATATTAAGACATGAATAGTGTTGTATTTTCTGTATGATAAATATGACACCAAGTCGTCGTCCCAGCGCCCGGGACTACTAGCTGCAGTAACAAAAGACAGAGATGAATTTTTTACCATTACTACATTGATATTAGGTTTTGAGGTAATTAATATAAGTATTATCCTAG